ACACACACACACACACACACACACACACACACACACACACACACACACTTTTAGCTGTTCCTTTAGAGAACCCTGACTTAACCAATAGACTATTTTATTCTTAGGACAAACTTAATGGCCCCACAGGAACTACCTGAACGGCTTCTTGGGGGGCAGGGCAGGCCCTTCATGAAGGATCCCTCCACAAGCACCTTCTTTATTTATACATTTTAAAAAGATTTATTTATTTCATGATTATAAGTGCTCTATCTGTATGTAGGACTTTATGCCAGAAGAAGGCATCAGATCCCACTCTAGATGGTTGTGAGCCACCTTGTAGCTTCTAGGAATTGAACTCAGGACCTCTGGAGAAGCAGCCAGTGCTCTTAACTGCTGAGCCACCTCTCCAGCCCCCATACAAGTACCTTATTCAAGGTCCCACTCAACACTGTAGACCAGATTTCCCTCATATGACCTGCTAGGGGACAAATCATATCCACTCTTAGCATAATACTTGCCAGAATGTTTGAGAGGAAAGTTTTTCTGCCCTTCACGGTTCTTAGTTGGGGCAGACACTTGAACAGAAGACAGATGAATAAGGACAAAACAGCCCACGTTCAAACATGTGTGCATCATATAGGAGTCACACTCAGAAGAATGAGTAACTTGGGAAGTCAGGCTTTGATTCCAGGCTTAAATAAAATCACCTACTGTAGCGGAGACGAGTGTGGAAAAAACTGGCTCTGGGTGGGCAACACAGTAAACAAGGGTGATGCTTGTCTCGTAAGTTTTAGTTGAATTTTCTTTTTTAAAGAGTTATTTATATTATTTTATTAAGCGTGTATTTGCAGGTCTGCACATGTGATTGCTGGTGCCAGAGAGCCTCTAAGATCCCCCGGAGCTGGAGTTTGTGAGCCTCCTGACCTGGGTGCTGAGAACAGAACGCGGGTCCTCTGCAAGAGCAGAATGCGCTCTGAGCCCTCCCGCCAGCCCCAGCTGGTGACATTCCTATTCGTTAGAATTTGGGTGTGTTCTTACCTTTCGGCCATGGGACGAGACATCCCAACGAGTGGAGATGTCTTCTAGACGCAGATAGAAAGTCCCCATGAACACATATGTCCTGTTGGTTTTAGATTACTGTGTTTGCTCTTCCTTTAAGTCCTCAGCTCAAAACATACTGACACCAAAAAAAAAAAAAAAAAAAAAAGCATATTATGGGGTGTTGCTATATTTTGTTTTGTTTTGTTTTTCTACTACATTTTTTAAAGTTAGCTTTTACTGGGATTACTTTAAGATTTCACTCTGTTAGGAATTAAAGTTTTCACCATTTCTACTCTGACGCCACTTTTAATTGACTTAATAGTTTTTGTAATTATGCTGTTTTCATCATCTTTCAGTTGATGACACTGTTAATTTATGAAAGGGTGCTGGGAGAAGTGGCCCACGAGTTTAATCTCAGCACTCAGGAGGCAGAAGCAGGTGGATCTCGGTGAGTTTGAGGCCAGCCTGGTCTACAGAGTGAGTTCCAGGACAAGAAGGCTATGCAGAGAAACCTGTTGTGGGATAGTTTGATCACACACCGACACTCCCGAGACTGCCCAATAAAGTTATACCTTGAGTCAGGGGCAGAGCCAGTGACTAGGCTGACCAGAATTGGTCATAGAGAAGCCAGCAACTTGGATAGAGAAGATGCACAGGAAGGAAAGGGCGGGGACTAGAGTTTGAGCTCTCTTAGTTCTGGGACAAGGGAGAGGTGTCTCTTGCAGTGTCTCTGGCCTAAAAGCAAGGTCAGCTAGTTTCCACTCGGCATCTCTGAGCTAGCAGGTTTCCACCCCAGTCTTTGACTCCTGAGTGTTATTGATAAATAGAATGGTAGAGACTTAAATTAAACCTACATATTGGGGCTGAGGCAGAGCTGGGACCTCAGGACTGGAAATTCCACTAAGACGAGGCCTGAGTGGCTGGAGGAGCACTGACTGAGGGGCCGTGGGGCCGCAGATGATAACTAAAGTATCAGTAGATTCATGTGCAGCCACTAAGCCGACAGAAAAATATCAGAAATCCTGTCTATAAAAACAAAACAAAACAAAACAAAAAAGTCTTAAAGTTGATTTTTTACTCTTAGCTCTTTGGGGTCCCACCACCCAGATTCTAAATCAATACACAGAGACTTATTCTTTCTTATACATGCCCGGCCTTAGCTTGGCTTATTTCTAGCCAGCTTTTCTTAACTTAAATTATCCTGTTTCTTTTCTTCTATGTTTTGCCTCTGGGCTTTTTAACTTTTGTCTCTTTCTTTCCTTCTTACTCCTTAGCTGGCTGTGTGGCTGTGTGGCTGACCCTGGTGTCCTCCTCTCCTTTTTTCTCACTTCTCTTCCTCTCCTACCTCGTTCTTTTTTCTCTTATTTACTCTCTCTGTCTGCCAGCCCTGCCTATTTCTTTCTCCCACCTAGTTATTGACCATTCAGCTCTTATTTAGACCAATCAGGTGTTTTGACAGGCAAAGTAACATGGCTTCACAGAGTTAAACAAATGCAACATAAAAGAATGCAACACGTTTACATCAGTAAACAAATGTTGTACAGCATAAATGAATGTAACATATCTTCAACTAATATTCTATAAGTTTCTTATCTTTTCCTCCTCTTTAAATTTAAATTTTGTTTAATTATTTTAAAACGTGCTCTAGTGCATGCATGCATGTGTGTGTGCACATGCATATATGAGTGCCACAGAATCCAGGTGTCAGATCCCCTGGAGCTGGAGTTACAGGTGGTTTCGAGGCACCTAATATGCTGGTGGCCACAGAACGGGTCCTCTGCAGGGGTAGTGCTAGCTCTAAATCGCTGAGCCATCTCTCCAACCCCTCGAAGTGCAGATTGCCAGGAGAAAACCTTTATGCCGAGTAGCAACTCAGCTGGCAGAGGTGGAGGTCTTGCCATTCTGTCCCTGGAGTTGGCTCACAGACTGGCAAACTCATGGTTCTGAGCAGGGCGGTCCTCTTAGTCTCCCAACAGAGCAAAATCAAATGAAATCCCCCCTCCATCCTGTCCTACAATCTGTAGCTTGGCTACATGATCAGAGAGCAGACTTTGTCAGCTGTTGTCAGGTGGTCAGCCACAGTGGCCTGCCCAGGGTTGAGGGAGGTAGGATTGTCCATGGTGAGGTGGGTGACAGAATCACAGCTCTGTACTGCCACATGCAGCAGCATGTGACGATCTCCCAGAGTTTGGGGATCTAGACTGATGTGAAGTCAGGGTTCATTGCTTTGATGCCGAAAGGAACATGAAGATTAGCCAGTTTATGAATGAGAGTTGGAGATTTTATTAAAGATATTTTAATATAGGCTTAAACATGAAGGTTAGGAGAAAGAGAGGCACTCAGAAGCAGAGCAGGGGCACACCTGAGCACATACGCTTGGGGCTCGCGGAAGAGAGTTGGAGCTCCTTGTCTTTACAAAGCCCTGTACGACTTTGGCGGGTTACCATCTCATCACTGGGTGGTTCTTGAAGGGCACCTGGTAGGTTTCCAAGCCAGGTGAAGACACAGGAAGGCAGAGGATCTCCACTGTGACATTCTGTGACCAAGTTTTGTTTGAGATTCTCAGGCCAAGTCTGGGGAAAGGACTGAGGCCCAACCCAAGGCCATATACATTGAAGCATTAAGCTCTCTTTCTGAACCTGGAGCTCACATTGTTTTGGCTGGGCTGGCAGACAGCAAGCCCCACCAGGCCTCCCTCTCTGTCCTACTCAGTGCTGGGGTTACAGGCATGAACGGTACCACACAGCTTTTCTATGGACGCTGGAATCCGAACTCAACCTTGAGCATCTTTCCAGTCATTTTATCTTCCTTCCTTCCTTCCTTCCTTCCTTCCTTCCTTCCTTCCTTCCTTCCTTCCTTCCTTCCTTCCTTCCTTCCTTCCTTCTTTCCTTCCTCCCTCCCTCCCTCCCTCCCTCCCTTCCTTCCTTCCTTTCTTTCTTTTGGTTTTCTGAGACAGGGTCTCTCTGTGTAGACCTGGCTGTCCTGGGACTCTAACTGTAGACCATGCTGGCCTCAAACTCACAACAATCCACCTGTCTCTGCCTCCCAAGTGCTGGAATTAAAGGCATGTGCCACCACCGTCCACTTAGTTTATTTCAATCTGAACCTTCCAAAAGTGTAAGGCAAATTCCCTTTGCTCCACAGAGGGTACCTTTGACCAAAGAAACAGATGGTCGGGACATCTAGCTCCCATCTAGAAAGCCACATGCAGTATATGGAGGAGTGTGAGGACAGAGATCTTTGGTCCCATGGTGAATTGGCTCACATTTAGCTCCTGCCTTCAGGGACATCCTAATGTCCTGTGGAGCACTTCACATAACTTCTCAATGTTGCGCCGTGAAAGCCCCGGACACAGAAAATGTGAAATGTCTGCCCTAATTGGAAATCTCCCGATATAAAGAGACAATTCCCAAATAGTGCCCAGCTTGGTGGGTCAGTCTTTCTGGCACTGTTATAGAAGCAGCTACAGAGTTCTTTGAAAACAAGAAGAAAAAAGAATGAAAATCAATAACCCTTGCCTAGCAAACTGAGCCATTACAGACAGACACAAAAGCAGGACCCTAAAAGTAGCTTGAATCCTGTCATAGACACTACGGTCTGCAGAGCCTCCTCCGCAGGTGTCTGTACATCTGCAGATGTACTCCAGGACACTAGGGAAACCGGAAGGTTATAAGAAGACCCTCCCTAGATGATTCTTCCGCTTCTGTGGGACAATACCTCATTAGCTGAATGGCTCAGCTGATCTCAGTTCACCTCAGAACCCCTCATTTGTACATCAGCTGAAGGATCTGGAACAGGCATAGTTACTCAGAGGACTTCTTGGTGATTCCGTCACCTCAGCCTCCTCAGCCGTCCTCTCCTACCCTGCCTTTCTAGTTTCTGAATCCTTACCTGCACATCTTTCAGTAGAAAAACGGTAATGTGTCTGTCAGCATACCATGTGATGAGAAAGGGGTTTTATTTCTCTGCTCTGAAATGTTTTATTGCCTGATGGAGACTAATCTTGGTTTTAAAACTGCCCAAGATGGTGTAACCTTAAAAGAGAATCCCTCGTGGCTTCTGTGTCTCACATGCACATGAGGTTGGATTGCTGCTAAGTGCAGAGCTGTGCCCGTCATCGGGGAGGAGCAAAGCTTTTCCTATCCGCAGCTGGGTCCCCTCTTTCATGAGGTGGAGTGGAGGGTAGGATGCTCTTGTCTTTACTTCCCCATCCTCTAGCACCATCAGCAGGTTGGTAAAGAAAGGAGAGAGAATCCATTCAGAGGGAAACCAAATCTGTCAATCTGCACAAGATCTGAGCGCCAGAAGTTCAGTCGTGATTCCTTGCCACCCCACAGACCCTAATCCAGCCACATTGTTCCCTTGACTCCCAGTGACACAGAGGCTTACAGTAATTGACTTCTGCAGTCTTATTTCTTTTCTTTTCTTTCTTTCTTTTCTTTTCTTTTGTTTTTCAAGACAGGGTTTCTCTGTGTAGCTTTGCGCCTTTCCTGGAACTTGCTTTGAAGACCAGGCTGGCCTCGAACTCACAGAGATCTGCCTGCCTCTGCCTCCCAAGTGCTGGGATTAAAGGTGTGAGCCACCACCGCCTGGCAGACTTCTGCAGTTTTAGTCACTTATTGAGACAGAGTTTCATGGAACCTAGGCTGACCTCAGACTCACTAGATAACCAAGGAAAACCTTGAGCTTCTGATCCCCCTGCCTCTGCCTATTGCATGCCGGGATTACAGGCCTGCACTACTGTGCCACTAAATCCACTCTGTCTGTGAAGTGCTGGTGAGCCAAGCCAGGGTCTCCCGTATGCTAGACCAGCACTCTAATGACTGAGGTGCACTCCCAGCTCGCTTCCTTTTCGACTCCACTGGATCCCGACTCACAATGTCTGTTTGTGTTCACATTTAAAGGGAGCCAACATGTCCTCAATGTGCTTCAGAAGTAGGGTGGGCCTCCTTCAATGTTTGCCGAGGTGTTTATGTCTCACTTAGACTCTTTGGGCTTGACTGAAGGTCCCTCTTGCTCAGGATGCAGATGATGTCTTACTCTGAGAAAACTAGAAAGGCAGAATAGCAATCAGAGGCCTGGGGATGTCTGGAGGGGGGCGGGAGGCTGACAAAATGAGTAGACGGAGAGCAGATCTTTGAGTGGATGATGGAGAAGGCACACCAGCTTCAGTGAAAAAACACCATTGCCCACCCTCTACTTTAATGGTGGA